TACACAAGAAAGAATTCAGGCATGAGACAGAGTAGTGGAAAGTAAAGTAACAAAGTTTATTAGGGAAAAGGACATCTGTAAGAACAGATGGGCACCTCTCCAGACAGGTGCACACTCCTTGTTCATATGACATGGATATATCTCTACATTCCGATTATTCCACTTAGGTATTGTCTAAGATCACTGAGGCCCCACTTTATAGCCTACTTCTTCTGAACCCTCACCAGAATCAGCTTAATGCTCTTGTCATGGCCATATGGGCTTGTTCTAGCCATCACTTCAAAAATCTTCCACCTCTACTCATTACCCAGTTCCAAAAGCCACCTCTCTGAGTTCTTGGTCCTAATTTCTGTCTTAGGCCCCTAGGGCTGTGCTATCAAAATACCTTAGATGTACAGTATCTGCAGAAGAAACATTGGCCATGGGCCTGGAGGCTAAGATGTGCAAGATTGAGGCACCAGAAGATTGGGTGCCTGGAGAGGGCTCGCTCCCTGCTTCAAAGATGGCCCATTCTCACACAGCAGAAGGAACAGCTTCCATTAAGCTTTTTTCATGAGGGCAGAACTCTCACAGCCTAATCCCCTCCCAGTGGCTTACTCCTTGACACTACTGCTTTGGTAATTGCCATTCAGCATACAAATTTTTGGGGGAACTCAACATTTTGGACCACAGCAGCGAGTAATCTTCCAACTGTTTATTGAATGCTTTTACAACTGGACAACTTAGTCTTAAGTATTAAAAAATACCATTCTCACATTACTAAAGAATTTTAAAAAATAGGAGGGAGAAAACATCTTTTTAACTCAGCTTTTTCCAGCAATGACTAATCTTTGGATTCCTTTTTGTATCAGCAAATACAAGTCAACCTATTCCTTTTAACACTTCTGTACTTTCTCAGTGCATAGATGTCTTGTTCTTCAGTAGCCAGTCCCCTCTGGGTAGTTGTAAGATGATATTTTCCCTATTTCTTATAATGCTGCAGCACTGAAAATACCTATCTTTTCATGTATATTTTGTGCTATTTTCTTATAAATGGAATTGTTGGGTAAGAAAATGTATAAAATTGTGTAATCATTGTCGATACTATGCCAAGATACACTCTCATCATTAGTGACAATGCCTGTTTTTCATTCCTTTCCTATGTGAATTTAAGGCTTAAGTGGACACACTTAATTTGTAAATTTAAGAATTTTTTATTATTCATTTGAGAAGGAGAAAGTGGGAGGGGGAGAGCACTCTATCTGCTGGTTCATTCTCCAAATGCCTGCAGTGGCCAGGACTGGAGCTAGGATCCAGGGATATAATCTAAGTCTTCCAGCTGAGTGGCAGGAGCCCAATCATTTGAGCCATCAGAGCTGACTTCTAGGGTCTGGATTCCAGGAAGCTGTAGCTGGGAGCCAAAACTGAGAATCAAATGTAGGCACTTCATGTGGGATAACTGTTAGGTAGAAAGTTAGATATGAGCTTATGTGTGTGTGACAAAGGCCTACAGAGAAGATGTCTATGTCCAGGATATGCATCTGCATCTCAAAGTCATCCTGATAATGTTTCAGGGGCAGCCCAGTATCTGCATCTTGCCCTGCTCCCTCCTATCCTATAACCTGCCAGGTGGGGGTCCCCACCCCTTCTGCCTGATAACCTTCCAGATGCAGCCCAGTATCTGCATTTCAAATACCCTGCTCTGGATCCTGATTCTCCAGGGGGTCTTGCTCACCTTTCCTCTAAACTCAGGACAGCACCAGCTAGGCTTCCTCCTGTCTGATACCTTCAGGGGAAAACTCAGACAGGAGCTTCTTAATATTTACATCCATAAAATCCTTTGTTTCAGGAAGAGATGTGTGAAGACAAAGACCCATCTCCTTAAACCACCCCACCCCCACCTCAACTGGATGGGGTGTGCTCAGCCCTCTGCCTCTCTGCTGAGCCACCCACCTGGCCTGCCTGCCCAGGTGTAATCTCTCCACTCAACCAGGTAACTTCTCTCCTCCCCCTCCCCGACTCCTTACAGCACTTTTTCAGATCCAGCTTCCTGCTAATGCACCTGGTAAGGCATCAAGTAGTAGCTTAAGTCCCTGGGTTCCTGCCAGCCAAGTGGGGAGATGGAATTCCCGGCTCCTGATTTTGGCTTGGCCCAGGTCTGGCTGTTGTGGTCATTTGGGGAGTGAACCAGCTATGAGCAAAATCTCTCCCTCTTTTTTCTCTCATTTCCTTTTTTTTCTCTTTCTGCCATTCTTTCAGATAAATAAAATAAAACTTTAAAAATAAAAGGTATTCATTTTTGGTACATAAACTGTACAAATATACTCCTCAAGATAGCATTTTTCTTCTCACCTATTGATAAGTTCTGGAATTTTAATATGTTTTCCTTTGCTGTTAAATAGGAATAGTCTTCTGAATTACTAACAAAATCAGGAGACTCAAAAAATGTAATCATGATTTAAACTGTCATTGATATTTAACTGCAAGGAAATAAAAGTTAAGAAAAGTTAATTCATGTGCAAGCATAAAAAGCAAGCCTTTGACATCTGGGTCTACACCAGTGTACTCAGTCAATAGTTTCCAATCTTACTGAAGCCCAGAGAGTTCTATTGGGAAGATATACTGAACTGTCTCTTCATCATTAGGTTTCTTTGTAGGCATACATGTTGGTTTTTCTGCCATGTCAAGTTGAAAGAACTGAAAATGAAGAAATAAAGTCTTTAAAAATGTTCTTACAAAGGTTACATTCCTGCTTTATATCACCACGGACCTGTTTTGAGTTGCAGCTGTCTTGCTACAGAGGCTTCTACACAATAAATAATATACATTCAAGATACGTGGTAATGCATGTAACCATAACACAAAAGCATTCTAGGAAAGGTAACTTCCTTTTTGAAATCAAGAGGACAAAGAGCACTCACTGTTCATTAAAGGACTCTACAGTCATGAGAAACTAGAGACTTTTGTTTTAATCCATGCTAAACCAACCAAGAAGCCTGCATAATTGCTTATCTTTCCAGAACAGCTTACCAGGGAAGTCTAGGCATTAGAGTACAACAACTGAAGGAGAATTAGAAAGACAGAGCTTATAGAATATAAAGGAGTCCCTTGGACACTGAACTAACACAATGATAATTCTCACAAAGCACCTACTATGCATCCAGCATTGTGCCTGGAGCCTTGTGCTTTACCTCATTTAGTGCTGTTAGGAGCGCTGAGGTGGACAGATTTTCATTGCCATCTGCCAGGAGGAAAAAAGACACAGAAAGCCAAAGGAACTTACTTGCCCAGAGGTCCAGCAGGTCCCAAAGCTGGTGTTCTTCCTACTGGCCACACTTGTGGACCAAATCACCATTTCCTGTGTTTGCAACAGTTGCAAAAAAGGGGGGGTGGATACAAGGGAGTCCTGTGTGCTGATTTCCCAGCAGGACCGCCTGCGATGGCCCTGCTGCCCTACTTTTGAGAACAATAGCACAAAGATATGAAGACTAGGAGGCTTATTTTAAGAGGAAATATATATGGGTAACATAAAAAAGAAAAATTAACTAAACCAAAAAACGGCTCTGTGTGGTGGTCTCTTCCCTGGATCTACTCTGAAAATTGGCTACCCTTTAGAATATGTAAGTTCTCTCATTTTCCCGAACATTAGATGGGTTCTCTTCTATAGATAACATTCTGTTCTATGGCATGGTTTACTCTAGCATAGACTATACAAAGACACTATATTTGCTGATGTTGGGCATCACAGTAACTTCTAGTCATTGAATTACAACTGGTAATAAACATTTAAATTACTGGGAAAAGGTTGCTCCCTAACTTCTTATTCACTAAGAATGTAAGTTACTACAAATTCAAGAGTATCTGTTTCTGTATATTTTGGCACATCTGTCCAAGTCTAGTTTGAAAACCAGACATTGGTTGGTGTGTATTTCAAAACCCAATTATAAATGAATTGCAGGAGACCAGCATTGTGGCATAGCAGGAAAAGCCGCCACCTGCAATGCCAGCATCCCAGCCCCTGCCTATGTGATCATCTGGGGAGTGGAGCAGCAGACAGAATATCTCTATCTCTCCCTTTCTCTTGGTAACTCGGACCTTTTGGCCTTGCAGTTAAGAGGAGCTGGTTGAGGAGCCAGCACTGTGCCAGAGTAGGTAAAGCTGTGACCTGTGGCACCAGCATCCCACATGGGTGCTGGTTCAAGTCCCAGCTGCTCCACTTCCAATCCAGCTCTCTGCTATGGCCCGGGAAAACAGTAGAAGATGGCCTGAGTTCTTGGGCCACTGTACCCATATAGGAGACTCTGAAGAAGCTCCTGGCTCCTGGCATCAGATCTGCCCAGCTCCAGCCATTACAGCCACTTGGGGAGTGAACCAGCGGATGGAAGACCTTTCTCTTTGTCATTCCCTTTCTCTGTAACTCTACGTCTCAAGTAAAAAAAAAAAAAAAAAAAAAAAGACTAGAGCAAAAGTTCTCAAAATATGGTCCCTGAGCCCCTGAGAATCCCTGAGACTTTTTGACAGGGCTCAGGAGGTAAAAATGCTCTTTTTTTTTTTTTAACAATACCAAGGTGTAATTTGCCTTTCCCACTGTGATAACATTTACAGTGATGGTTCAAAAGCAATGGTGGATAAAGACACCTGCTGATCTTCAGCTCAGCAGTGCCACAAAATTGTATTATTGCTCATAATGCTATTTCCCGCACACATTCACAATAACAACAGAAAAAAATGTAGAACAAGCCCTCATAAAGCACTTATGTTGTACATAGACATGTTGGTTGTCTTGAGAACTGCAAGGTGTCTGGTGCATAACAAATCTTCCCAGGCAGATGACTCAATTAATTCACATGCTTTTATTGGGGTTCCACTCCCGGGCGAAGTTCCATGGCCCCACACAGAGCAACAGAGCGGGGGCCCGGAAAGTCTCGCGTCAGAGATTGGGAGTGCTCCTTTTATAGATTTGGGGCATGGGGGTTAAAGGTTGAGGCGGGTCTGATCCTCATTGGTTGACCTTTAGGCACCTGCGGGGACCTTGACAAGGACTTTTCTTCTCCAGAAGTGTAGGCCTTCCCTCCTTGTGGCTCCCAAAGCTACCAAGAACAACAGATTCTGTGAGTGGCAAGAGATAGGTATTTCTTTTTTATGAAACATTGTCAATTGTAAGAAAAACTGATGAACACTGGTATTTGGGTTTGGATATCTCAAGACAATTTCTGGGAAATAAATGAAGTGTGTTATAAAACATCAAGAAAAATAACCAAGGGGTTGACTTTTGGCCCAGTGGTTAAGATGCCAGTTAAGATACCCATATGCTGTGTCAGAGTACCTGAGTTCTATGAATTAAGACTTATTCTATGCATCTGCTCTCCCACAATATGGCGCTGGGAGAGAAGTAAACAGCTTCCGCACAGCTGCCTGCAGTTCAACCAATTAACTGTAGGACTTGCTCCTGATTGGAGAGCAGCGTACTCGGCGTGTGGGCAGCCGAGTTGGGATTGGCGGAGGAGGACTATAAAGGAGGAGAGAGACGGCATGCACCAGGAACATCTATGGGGAACATCTAAGGGAACCCGTGCAGCCCCCGAGAAAGCCGGCCGGCGGTGTGCCGCTCCCCTGCGGAAGTGGGGAATGTGGCCAGGGGGAACTGCCCTTCCACGGAGGTAGAAGGGATAGTAGCCAACCCGGGAAGAACCAGCAGCAAACCCGGGGAGGGCCGAGCAGATGAAAGAACAGCGCAGGGTTCTGTGTCGTTCCTCCACGAAGAGGGGGAGCGACAATACCCATATGCCATGTCGGAGTACCTGAGTTCTATACCCAGTTCTGGCTCCTGACTCCAGCTTCCTGCTAGTGAGGACCCTGAAAGACAGCGGAGATGACTGAAATGATTAGCTTCCTGCTATCCACATGAGGGACTCAGATCTGAATTCCTGGCTTGTGGCTTTGGACCAGTCTAGCTTCAGCCTGCTCTCTCTTTCTTTCTTTCTCTCTCTCTCCAAATCTCTCTGACCCTTTGACCCTCAAATAAATTTTTAAAATGTAATAACATAACTGAAAATATATTCTGTAACTGATTAAATTTGAGCTTTAAAGCTAAAGTTTGAGTTTTTGGAGAATTTTTATCTATTTTCTTTTTAATTTATTTGACTGGTAGAGTTATAGACAGTGAGAGACAGAAAGGTCTTCCCTCTGTTGGTTCACTCCCCAAATGGCTGCTACAGCCAGCACTGCACGGATCTGAAGCCAGGAGCCAGGTGCTTCCTCCTGGTCTCCCATGCCAGTGCAGGGTCCAAGCACTCCACTGCCCTCCTGGGCCACAGCAGAGAGCTGGACTGGAAGAGGAACAACGGGGACTAGAACCTGGTGCCCATATGGGATGCGGGCACCGCGGATGGAGGATTAACCAAGTGAGCCAAGGCGCCAGCCCCTATCCATCATTATAATCTTGACAGCTTCCCAATACTTAAAAACTTATCCAAAGATATTGGTGATTATGACAAATATACACTTTTTTTAAGGTTTATTTATCTATTTAATGAGATAACGATAGAGGGAGGGAGGGAGAGAGAGAGGGGTCCTCTACCCGCTGGGTCACTCCCCAGGTGGCCACCATGGCCAGGGCGGGGCCAGGCTGCACCCAAGAGCCAGGAGCTCCATCAGGGTCCCCCACGAGGGCACAGGGCCCAGGCGAGCAGAGCCAGGACGCAGGCGAAGCCCTCCCTGAGAGGAGAATTCTAGCCGGCGTCCTGGTCACTGGGGAAGGGGGAACTGGGAATAAAGGCGCAGGAAGCTCGAGGGAGAAACGCACGAGGGAGGGGGCCTTGGTCCCGGCCCCCTGGCCATCCCACCCAGGCCTCCAGGACCCTAGCCTCGCCCCCCCAGCAGTTCCAGGAATGTTTAGAGGAGCCAATTCCTGCCACTCCCATTGGTCAACTCAGGACCACAGGATCGCTCCCGCCCCCGCCTCCCCTCCCACCCTGTCCCCGCCCCACCCTCCTCGCCCCCCCCTTCCACCCAGCTCCCCCAGCCCCGGTCCGGCCCCGTGGGTTCCTGGCGTTGCTTCCACTCGGGGGAACTCTGCTGGGAGATCCTGTGAGCGAGCGTCCGCACACATACATGCACGCACACGGGTACACACACACGCACAGGTGCACATGCATACATGGGTGAACACACACGGATGCACACGGGTGCACACAGGTACACGCACGCACACACGGGTGCACACGCGCAGTCTGCAGGGCCAGCCCAGCTTCCTCTCCCCTAGGGGTCCCCCCCCCCAGGGAACCCCAGACCCTAGGGCGGTGGCACCAGGTGGGCCATGGGATCCCCGGGAGTGGCTCAGCCCTTAGTCCCGCTGGTCTGGGCCCCGGGGACGTCCCAGTGACGCCCCTCCCAGCGGAGGGCGGTGTGGGGGGCGGCGTGCAGCCTGGGGAGGGGGAGGCAGCCAAGGACAGAAGGGACCATGCAGGGCGGGCTTGGGGCACAGACCCTGGGGCCCCACAGGGCGGGCCCGGGGCGGCTTCTTGCTGGGGTCGCCTCGCCCTCGGGGAGACCCGCGGGGGGCGGAGCTCCCAGCTGAGGCCGGCGGCTGGGGAGTGAGCAGCAGATGCGCCGAGGGTGCGTTCACGCGGGCGGGGGCCTGGGGCTCCTCGCGGCTCAGCGGCGCCCCCGTCCCGCGCAGGCATCTCGTCGCCCGTGAATAAGACGGGGATGGACAAGTCGCCATTCAACAGCCCCTCGCCGCAGGACTCGCTGCGCCTGTGCAGCTTCACGCAGCACCACTGGCCCGTGATCGCGGTGCACAGCGGTGAGCGCGGGGCTGGGCGGGGGCCAGGGGCAGAGCGCGCACACACAGGCGGGGGCCGGGGCCAGGGGTTTGGGGCAGAGCGCACACACAGGCGCGGGGCGGGACCGGGGCCAGGGCCGAGCGCTGGGCCCAAGCCCCGCGCTCACCGCCCCGCCGCATAGGCATCATCCGGAGTCCGCACCCGTCCTCCGCCCTGCACTTCCCCACCACGTCCATCCTGCAGCAGATGGCGTCCACCTACTTCCCGCACACGGCCATCCGCTACCCGCCGCATCTCAACCCTCAGGACCCGCTCAAAGATCTCATGTCGCTGGCCTGCGACCCGGCCAGCCGGCAGCCTGGATCGGTGAGTGCGGGGTGGCCGACGGGCGGCGGAGGGGGCGTAGCGCCGCGGGCAGGGGTCGGGGCGGCGGAGGGGCGCGGTGCCTAGGGCAGGGGTCCGCGGACAGGGTTCCGCGGGCAGCCACAGATTCCACCTCCTTGGCTCCTGCCAGGCCCCCGCAGCGATGCGCGTCCTGCCCTTGGGGTTTCGCGTTTGGGAGCTTCGCATTTGGGAGTGGCGGGCGAGGTGGCACCCTGTGAACAGACAGGGAGGCGGGGTGCAGGGGTCCCAGCCCCCTGGACCTCCAGCCAGTCTCGGGCCTGCCCAACCCCCATAGCCCTGCCGGCGTCTTGGTCCCTCCGAGGCCGCCCCCCACCCCTGCTCAGCTGGGGCACGCAGTGCTCCTCCCTTCCCCGCAGGCTCTGGCCCTAGTCCAGCAGAAGGGGCGGCGCGCGTGTCCACTCCTCCCTCCCCCTCCCCCAGCACCTACTGGGCCCTTCCCCGTCTCCCCCCAACCTGCTAGGGGGAGCCGCCTCCCAGGAAGCCGGTGGGAATTGGGGCTCCCCTGCAGGACCCGCGGTTTGCCCTCCAGAGAGCCCAGGGCCACGTGGTCAGGGCCAGAGGGGCCGAGGGGGGGGCAGCACCGGGGGCGCAGGGGTCTCAGGCCCCTGTGGGCAGCGGGAACTAGGATCCGGACTTCACAGCGCTGGGGGCTCAGGGGGACGGAGCCCTGGGCCGGCCTGCGCCATTCTGGGTGTTTTTAGGATACATTTATAATTTATCTGAAAGGCAGAGTGGGGGGTGGAAAGAGAGGCGAGAGAGAGAGAGAGAGAGAGAGAGAGAGAGAGGTAGAGGTGTTTCGTCCACTGGGTCACTCCCGGAATGGCTGGGGCAGGGCCAGGCCAGAGCCAGGAGCTCCATCCATGGCTCCCACAAAGGTGCAGGGGCCTGGGCACCTGGGCCTTCAGCCGGGGATCCGGATGGGAAGTGGAGCGGCGGGGACTCGAACCGGCGCTCCATGGGTGCTGGCATTGTGTACAGCCCGCCATGGGCCACATCTCGCCTTGCGAGGGTCCTGCCTGGCCCTGGAAGCCCCCAACCCCCCTTCTATACTTTTCCAGCTGGGAACCCAGATCACAGCTTGGTGGTCTCTGCCTGCCCTGCCCCACCCCCTCTCAGACCCAGGCCAGGAACCAGCTTCCCTTGAACTGCCAGGAAGCTGGCCCCAGATTCAAATCCTGCCTCAGCTGGCTTGAAGGCCCCGGCTTTCCCCGCCCACTCACCTGTGAGGTGGGGGAGGGCAACTGTGTCCTGTGAAGACTCCCCTGGGGGTGAACAGGGCTGTGCCCAGGGCCTGGCATGCAGTAGGCACTTAATAGATGTGGACAGCACATAGATCCCCTTCCTGGAAGCCTCTGACCACAAACCCGGGCTCCCACCCCCAGGCCTGGCCAGGCCCCTGTTCCCCTCCCCCTCTGTAGCCCCTGACCAAGTGCCCTGGGCATGATTAGAGTGAGGGAGTGAGGCCTGCAGACCTGCGGCTGTCCTGCCTTGCTCCACGCAGCAGTTTGGAAGTTACCAAATGCCATCAGTGACAGGCGGCCCCAGGACCGCAGGGCGCAGGGTGCCACGGGAGTGTGTGCAAAGGGCTGGCTGTGTGACCCCAGGCAGTGGACACCCTCTCTGGGCCTGGCCAGCCCCTCGCTAATGGGCTCTTGGTCTCTCTCCTCTCTGCAGCCTACTCTGTGCCCAACACGTTCCCTGTAAAGCCTTCCTTTGTGGGATTAGGACCAAGGGATCCTGTGGGCAGCTTTCAGGCACAGGTAGGGGCCGAGAGGCTGCCGAGGGGGGCAGGGAGCCAGGCAGAGGGCCAGCCTGGGGGGCACAGGGAGAGGAGAGGCGAGCCCGCCCGCCCCCGCCGCTGGCCACAGCCCGGGCTCCGGGGGCCTCGAGCGAGCCCGGGCTGGCTTCTCCTGGGCTCCCCCTCCTGCCTCCTGCCCAACATCTGTCCAGATGGGGAGAGGCCCAGAGAGGCCGGGGACCTGCCCAGGGTCACACAGCCATCGGCTGGAACTTGCCTCACCCCCACCCTGTGCCCCAGACCCAAGGCCTGGGGGGAGACCCTGCTCCGGGGAGGGGCTCAGAGCAGGGAGGTGAGTGACCCCGGGGCCCACGTGTCCCCCAGCCTGCCCACCTTCGGGGACCCTGGGCCTGAGACAGTAGGAGGGGGCCCCAGAGCCCCTGCCCCTGGCCATGTTGTTGGGGAAGGGGTCTCAGATGCACAGAGAAGCCAGTCCAGAAGCTCCAGGTCATGTGGGGGAGGTCCCCAAGGCCGTGGCTGGACCCTGCTGCACCCCTCTGGGCCCAGACCCCCTCCAGTAGGGGCTTTGAGCTCCTAATTGATTCAGAAACCAAAGCTAATAGGGCTCAGGCCTGGCCCTAACTCTTCCTCCACCACATGCCTGAGAGCAGAGGGAAACCAAGCCAAGCAAGGCCCCTGCAAGGATGGAGTGGGGGGCCGGGGTACAGGGAGGGGAGGGGGGTCCACAGTGGGTCAGGGCACTGCAACAGATTGTGACTGTTGGGAGGGGGGTGTGAGGGCAGGTGCTGCCTGCTCCCTGCAGCTGGGGAGGGGGCAGGAAGCCAGAGCCCAGCTCTGGGCCACCTCAGGGCGGATTCCGGCTCTGTCCCCATTGGTGGTGTGCCACTCAGCCCCCTGCCCGCCCCCAAGCCTCCTTCCTCTGCAGCCCCTCCCCCAATCAATACCCATTGATCTCCACCCCTACCCTCAGCATGTGCCTAGCCCTCTGAGCTGGGCTCACCTGGGCACCCCAGCCCCCAGCTGCCCGCTGGCCCCGGGAGCGCCCAAGGCAGGCCAGGGTCACATACCAGAAGCCACGTGGGCAGCCGCGGCCAGGCCACAGGAGGCAGAGGCTGTCCACTGGAGAGGGTCACACCCAGAGTCTGTCTGGTTGCCAACGGAAACCAGACATGAGGTAATGGCCAAGATTAACTTGAACATGGCTGGAGGTGGGCAGCTGCGAGCTCAGGTGCCACTTCCTTGGGATGGCCCAGTGGCTGCTGCATTGCCTGGTTCCCGGGGACACCAGTGATAAGTGACTGGGTGGGTGACAGCCGAAGCCCTCTGGCAGACCTGGGGTCTAGGGAGAGGGACCTGAGATGCCCCCAGCCGGCCCTGGAGTCAGGAGACAGGCCCGAGCAAACACCTGCAAGCCCTGGGGTCTAGGGAGATGGGCCCCAGCCACCTGCCCCTGCCCCAGCCCTGGAGAGAGGGAGACAGGCCCAAGCTGCCCCTGGCCAGGCCTGGGGTCTAGGGAGTCAGGCCCGAACCACCCCCTCACCCCCAGCCCTGGAGAAGAAGGAGACAGGCCCAAGCTCAATGGCCAGCCCTGGCGTCTAGGGAGACAGGCCCGAGCTGCCCTTGGACAGCCCTGGGGTCAAGAGACAGGCCTACGGTGCCACGGCTCAATAGGCTAATCCTCTGCCTGAGGTGCCAGCACCCCGGGTTCTAGTCCCAGTCGGGGCGCCAGATTCTGTCCCGGTTGCTCTTCTTCCAGTCCAGCTCTATGCTGTGGCCCTGGAGTGCAGTGGAGGATGGCCCAAATGCTTGGGCCCTGCACCCGCAAGGGAGACCAGGAGAAACACCTGGCTCCTGGCTATGGATCAGCGTGGTGCACTGGCAGCAGCGTGCCAGCTGCAGAGGCCATTGGGAGGTGACCAATGGAAAAAGGAAGACCTTTCTCTCTCTCACACACTGTCCACTCTGCCTGTCAAAAAAAAAAAAAAAGAGAGAGAGAGAGAGAGAGACAGGCCTAAGACCCCACAGGCCAACCCCAGAGTCTAGGGAGTTGGGCCTGAAATGCCCCCAGTCGTCCCTGGAGTCGAAACACAGGCCCAGGCTGACCCCAGCCAGCCCTGGGATCTAGAGAGATGGGCCCAGGCTGCCACCTCCACAGCCCTGGAGAAGATGGAGACAGGCCCAAGCTGCCTCCAGCCAGTCCGGGGGTCCAACACTGGCCTGAGTTGCCACCCGGCCGGCCCTGGAGTCTAGGGAGATGGCCTGGGCCGCCCCCTGGCTGCCCTAGAGTCAGGAGAAGGGCCTGAGCCGCCCCTGGCAAGCCCTGGGATCTAGGGAGATGGGCCCAGGCCACCCGACCTCCACCCTGGAGAAGAGGGAGACAGGCCCAACCTGCCCCTGGCCGGCCCTGGGGTCTAGGGAGACAGGCCTGAGCTGCTCCCAGCCAGCCCTGGGGTCTAGGGAGACAGGCCTGAGCTGCCCCCAGCCAGCCCTGGAGGCGAGACATGGGCCCGAGCTGCCTCAGGCTGGCCCTGGGGTCTAGGGAGATGGGACTGAGCTGCCCCTAGCCAGCCCTGGGGGCTAGGGACACGGGACCGGGCCGTCCCCACCCCCCCCAGACCTTGAGAAGAGGGAGACAGGACCGAGCTGCCCCTGGCCAGTCCTGTGATCTAGGGAGATGGGCCCAGGCTGCCCCCACCCCCCGGCCCTGGAGAAGAGGCCCTAGCTGCCCCTAGCTGGCCCTGGGGTCTAGGGAGACTGGCCCGAGCTGCCCCTGGCCAGCCCTGGGGATGAGACTCGGGCCTGAGCTGCCCCTGGCCAGCTCTGGGGTCTAGAAAAACTGGCCTGAGTTGACCCCAGGCAGCCCTGGAGTCGAGACATGGGCCAGAGCTGCTGCCTGGCCTGCCCTGGAATTGAGACACGGGCCCGAGCTGCCCCTGGCTGGCCCTGGGCTCTAGGGAAATGAGCCCAAGCTGTCCCCGGCCAGCCCTGGGGTCTAGGGAGATGGGCCCAGGCCGCCCCCTGGCCCTGGAGAAGAGGGAGACAGGCCCAAGCTGCCCCTGGCCAGCCCTGGAGTCAAGACACAGGCCTGAGCTGCCCCGGCCAGCCCTGCAGTCTAGGGAGATGGCCTGGGCCGTCCCCACCCCAGCCCTGGAGAAGAGGGAGACAGTCCTGAGGTGCCCCTGCCGGCCCTGGGGTCTAGGGAGACTGGCCCGAGCTGCCCCTGGCCGGCCCCGGGGTCTAGGCAGACTGGCCCAAGCTGCCCCCGACCAGCCCTGGGGTCTCAAGCTGCCCTGGACAGCCCTGGGGTCAGGAGACAGGCCTACGTCCCCCAATTGCCAGTCCTTGAGTCTAGGGAGATGGACCCGAGCTGCCCCCAGCCAGCCCTGGGGTCAAGGGAGATGGGCCCAGGCCCCCCCCCCACCAGACCTGGGGTCACAACCAGGCACAAGTTGCCCCCGGCCAGCCCTGGGGTCTAGGGAGATGAGCACGAGCTGCCCCCAGCCAGCTCTGCGGTCTAGGGAGACAGGTCTGGGCCGCCCCCCTGGCCCTGGAGAAGAGGGAGACAGGCCCAACCTGCCCCTAGCAGGTGCTGGGCTCTAGGGAGACTGGCCCGAGCTGTCCCCAGCCAGCCCTGGAGTCGAGACCCGGGCCCAAGCTGTCCCCGGCCAGCCCTGGGGTCTAGGGTTACGGGCCTGAGCTGCCCCCAACCAGCCCTTGGGTCTATGGAGTCGGGCCCAAGCCACCCCCCCAGCCCTGGAGTAGAGGAAGACAGCCCCAAGTTCCCTGGCTGGCCCTGGGGTCAGGAGAAAGGCCTAAGCCCACCACAGGCCGGCCCTGGGGTCTAGGGAGATGGGCCCAGGCCACCACCACCCCCCAGCCCTGGAGAAGGAGACAGGCCCAGGTTCCCTGGCCAGCTCTGGGGTCTAGGGAGTCGGCCCAAGCTGTCCCCGGCCAGCCCTGGGGTCAGGAGACAAGCCTAAGCCCCCTACCGGCCAGTCCTGGAGTGTAGGGATTTTGGACCCAGCTGCCCCTGGTCGGTCCTGGGGTCTAGTGATTTGGGCCCGGGGCTGCCCCTCGCCCCAGCCCTGGAGAAGAGGGAGACAGGCCTGAGCTTCCCCTGGCCAGCCCTGGGGTCAGGAGACAGGCCTACGTCCCCCACTTGCCAGCCCATGAGTCTAGGGAGACAGGCCAGAGCTGCCTCTGGTCAGCCCTGGAGTTGAGACAGGGTCCCAAGCTGCCTCTGGCTTGGCCCTGGGGCTGGCTGGGGGAGGAGGGGTCCCACGCGTTTTTCAGTTGAGCTACACCTAAAACACTAAGTGAGGGACCCCGGCCCCATCCTCACCCCCACCCCTCCTGGCAGGAGAGGGGAGACCGGCGAGGGGCGTGAGGTGTCCTAGGGCCTGGGAGCCCCGATGCAGGGACCCCTCCTGGCCTCTGCCGACTTCTTCCCTCCAGGCGACACTGGGGGGGCGTGTCCCCGTCCCTCCTCCCCCAGTGGCCCCCAGCCTGGCCTGGGGTCTGGAGACAGGCCTATGTCCCCTCCTCCGGAGAAAGGCCCGAGACCCTGGCCCGGCCCGCGCGGCCCCTCCCCTAGCGGTGCATCATGCTTGGCACTGGAGAGCACAGCCTGGCTTCCAGCATCCAAGGGATGTATGTATGGCAAACCGGGCTCGCCCTCCCCGCCCGCCCGGTTCCTCTCACAAAACAAAAACAAACAAAAAAAGATACCGCCCCCCAAAAAAACCCACTAAAAAAACAAAAGCCCCAAACCTCCGTGTTTCCTGATTTGCAGGGATTTCTGCCACTTGAGGTGCCTTGCCTTGGAGATGGCGCCCCCGCCTGGGCGGGCAGAGCTGCATGCCTGCTCTAGTCCCGGCGCTGACTCAATAGGTATGTATTATCTTTCTCATAGGTCCCACACGGCCACGTTTGATTCTGGCTTGCACATCGCCCTCTCTGTTCCCCTGCCCCCTAGCCTGTCGGGGAGCAGCCCCTC